CCGAGGCCTTGTGATTTTCTAACATAAGTTTTGAATAATACCTGCTGAAGTGAAACACGCGTTTTAAATAAAACCCACAAGTATCAATAATATAAAAATATAACATCTGAATAACGAGGGGAGAAAATGTGTTTGATAATCCAGAGTCAATATTGACAAATACTTCAAAAACACTGAGTTGTGAGAAATCGATTTATAGCCATTAGTAAAAATATCAACATCTAACACACCATAGATAACTGTTTTTATTACTAGTTTTATAAACATTTACCTTGGTCACCTTAAAGTACAGTTTGGGGGGTTAAAGGGACAGATGCGCCATCCAATTGACCAATCATACTTTAGTCTCAGAAACGGGAATTTTTTAGCTAAGCCAATCAGTAATAGTGTTCACAGCTCACTGTCAAAATTTGAGACTTCAAATCCATGTGTGTCTAGAATTATCTACGTTTGAATGTTAAAATGATGACTTGTCTTTTCTTGAGACACTGTCATATATAGAAAAAGTAAAAGAAATTCCTAGTGTGAGATATTTTTAAAGGAATTATGTGATTTTGGTACATTTCTAGTACTTCTGAAGACTATTTACATATATTCAAGACTCAAATCAACACCCGTCATTTCATTATAATGACCACCTTACCTCCCTTCCACCACCCCAACCTTGCTCTCTCCACCCCCAAGACGTCCCCTCCCCCCTAAAACATCAAGTCATCAACCTTCCTTTCCCCACCCCAAGTCATCAAGTGTTAAATCCATTCATCACTGTGATAAATTGCGTTTGTGATAGAGTGTTTAATGCGTAACAACTAACTGTATAAACATTGATTACCTCCTAATTATAAACTAATCTCTCACTTGACTTGTCAATTAGACAGGCTTACTAAAAGAAACAGGTTCACAAGCTCTTTCACCAATCATACTTTAGTCTCAGAAACAGGAATTTTTTAGCTAAACTAATCAGTAATAGTGTTCACAGCTCACTGTCGAAATTTGAGTCATCAAATCCATGTGTGTCAAGAATTATCCACGTTTGAAAGCTAAAATGACGACTCGTCTTTTCTTGAGACTCTGTGATATATAGAAAAGACAGATATAGAAATAGGAAAAGAAATTCCTAGTTTGAGATATTTTTGAAGGAATTATGTGATTTTCGTACATTTCTAGTATTTCTGAAGACTATTAACATATATTCAAGACTCAAATCAACCAAGCCAAGGACCATGTATAGTGTATCGTTGTATTTTTAAAGGAATTATGTGATTTTGGTACATTTCTAGTATTTCTGAAGACTATTTACATATATTCAAGACTCAAATCAACCAAGCCAAGGACCATGTATAGTGTATCATTGTATTTTTAAAGGAATTATGTGATTTTCGTCCATTTCTAGTATTTCTGAAGACTATTTACATATATTCAAGACTCAAATCAACCAAGACAAGACAAGGACCATGTATAGTGTATTGTTGTATTTTTGAAGGAATTATGTGATTTTGGTACATTTCTAGTAATTCTGAAGACTATTTATATATATTCAAGACTCAAATCAACCCCCAAAAATGGATTTCTAGTATTTCTGAAGACTATTTATATATATTTAAGACTCAAATCAACCAAGCCAAGGACCATGTATAGTGTATTGTTGTATTTTTAAAGGAATTATGTGATTTTCGTACATTTCTAGTATTTCTGAAGACTATTTACATATATTCAACACTCAAATCAACCAAGCCAAGGACCATGTATAGTGTATTGTTGTATTTTTGAAGGAATTATGTGATTTTCGTACATTTCTAGTATTTCTGAAGACTATTTACATATATTCAAGACCAAAATAAATAAAAACAGAAACAGAAAGAATTATTGAATGTAGGCCAAAACTAACTATAATCAATAGAATAGTACTAGAAATGAAATGAATGGAGTTTTACGTCCTACTTTTCTGCACCATGTGGGCTAATGACGACGGGCAATGACATGCAGTTTACAATGAGGGAAATTTTTATCAGGACACGAGCATTAGCCACTCTTTTTAATTTCCAACTGTCGAGGGATCTTTAACGTGTACAACCTATAACACACAGGGCCTTGTTATTGCCCCATTTTAAAACAGTACTAGAACCAAGGGAAAAAATTGGTAATTCGAAAACCAAAACTAAATCTT